TGTGAAAGGAGATATGGATGGTGCTTATATATGGTTATGTTAATAATTCTTCAATGATGTTCCATCAATAATTCGTAGTATGTACAAGTACATATTAACAACAACTTGACACTTGATTTTAGATGAACTGTAATATTTCTGTTTGCTCAAATACAAACATTTTAGAATGTTACTTTGATTGCAGAAGGTGAAGATGTACTAGATGGAGTGGGGATTCTACGAAATAGTACATGTATATTTCGGAACACAGAACCTAATGTTGTGTCATTCTACAATGATCAGCAGATCACTGAAGAAGTTGTGGAATTTCCACCAGGCTCCTTGCTGGTGAGTTACCTTTACACATCCAAAGCATGAGAGATAAAGAAATCAGATGTCACAGCAGTAATCAGGTTTACAAAAGAGTGAAGAAGCACAAAATCTTATTTTTCTAATGTTGCATTTCAGAACTTATTGGCCTGCTTTAGTATCATCTACTCAGCTGATAAATTTGGCTAACCCTGAAATGCAATAAATAAATGTTAAACATGCTTAGTGTTTGTTATTGTAATAAACATTAATAAGGACAGTACAGCTTATTACGTGTATTGCCAATACAGACATGGTTCTGTGATATGTCCTCATAAACAACTCTGCAACAAATTGTTTATTTTCATGAAACTTGACTCAGACTTCTTACCAATGGAGACCATCTGACCTTCATTCAATGTAATTTTGTACCATTAAAAGTAATATTGTGATGTGGGATCATCAGTAATGCCATTCAGTCTATGGTCCTAAAATAGATCTTTGAAAAATATACAGCTTAATTTATTTGTCATTTTCATAGTTTCTGAATCTACAAGTTACCATATTTTAACCTTATCATTCCCTACTTTACAAGGAAACTTAGGTTTATTTTATCATCATAGCCATGTGTATGTTCTTAATAGTGTTTTAACTTCCTCCATTGTTAAGGTGACAAGGTGGCAATGTAATGGTTGAGTTTTTTTATTCCTGCATCATATTCAGAAGGACCCAGGTTCATATCTTGGCCTAGACACCAATTATACTAACTAATGGTTTTTGTACTTTTTCTCAGTCATGCAGATGCTGGGATAGTATCTTAAATTAGGTCACACAAGCTTATTTCCACATTCTTTTAAACTCATTTACTCACTGGTCATCATATGTTTCGGTGTTATGTAGTCTGAGCTACTGAAATTGTCATTACATTTCATAAACCAGAATTAGAACATAGTGGTATTGCAAACTTCTGCTTTGGGAGTGACATCATCATTTAATTCAAATCAAATGGAATCAACAAATACAGCAGAGAGCAAAATCTGTAATTCTAGGTATTTCATAAGCATTTAATTAAATTGCTATGAGATAAAAGGAAGTGCTCTTGAAATTTATTATGTAAATCTAATTGATTTTCACTAATATAATTATCATTGAATTTCATTACGTTTTTCATTGTCACTGTCCAAGGGAAAAAATGAGCTTCCTGTGAATGTTATTGCAGCTTAGGTGCCTGTCAAATGATTTCTTTCTTCCCAAATAGAATTTTATTGTAGTATTTCTGTTTGTTTTTTTATTAAAATATCCCACTGACTGATGGCTTGTAAGAAATGTCTCTCAATTGTATATTTAGATGCTGAAAAAATTGTGTGTGCTTGTTTAGGTTTCAAGATGTGTTGATATTGGGAAATACTCTATGATTGGCTCTAATCGTCGCCGTTGTGTGGGTGGTGAATGGGATGGCCAGAAGCCTGTGTGTTTTGGGCTGAACCAGGAAAATGATTATGCATGTAAGTATACTTAATATGAAATGTTGTATTTCCTGTTTTACAGCATGAAAGTAAAGTAAAGCTGTCCCAATATATGCCATGTAGGCGCTTGGGCGGAGAGGTCATATAGCTCCTACTCCTTCTTGACCTCGGCACTAGATGGGGGTGAGTAGTGAGCATCACCCCCCAGCTGCACTTTACCCCTGAGAAAAGACCCCAGCACCCATTGGATAGGAGTCTTGGAGGGAAGCAGAGGGTAGAGGAAAAATCCTGTGCCCCTATCAGGGGATCAAACCCCAGTCATCAAGTCCATAGCCAGTCACTATACTGACTGAGCTATGCAGGCTCACACAACATGAAAGACAAGAGTCTATTGAAATCCTTTCAGTTATGTATGAATTATGCAATTTTTTAAAAAATTAAATCTGTGTTCAGTTAATTCTTTTTCTTTTAATGAAGTTTAATCAGTGTTCTGTTTTTCCAACAATCAAGGCTGTTTGTACCCATATGTTATGATGTGGTAAGGAAGTATAATATTTTAAGTATGTGTGTCTTAAATTATAAACACATTAAACAATAAAGAAAATATTACCAATTTCATGTATCACTACTTCATTTCTGAGTTTTAAAAATGTATTTGTATGTGTTTTTTCATTTACTTGTGTTGTACGATAAAAGGTATAGTAAGGTGTATTTCAGTAAACATTTGTCTGCTTCATTTTGTATTCAGAATGGTCTATTACAAGATGCATTATCCCATTGCTTTTAAGGCTAATGTGTGTTACCATTAATTAAAAATGTATTTAAAATTATTTATCTTTCCTTGCTTCTACAATTTTTAGATTGTTTGCATATATTGTCACTAATTTTTATTTTCTTAGTTCAAATAGACTATCTTACTTTGTTACAACATTTTTAAAAAGGCTACCATATTTGTTGGAATACAAGCATTTATATTTTGAAAACTTAAGAGGAAATAATGCACAAAAAGTGCTGTAAATGCAGCAGTTATCAAACACAAAAAGGAACTTTGTTTGTGACAAAATCCAGATTTACTAAAACACATTTGTTTTCCTGCATCCTGATATAGTTCACTGATCTCACACTACAATTTCAACAGGCATTGCATTCACACTGCTATATAAAATTGTTTGTGATAATGTAAATTTATTTTTGGAATGAAGAAAAATGCACCTCTAATTGCTCCTGGTGTCACTAGACTAGTGTACAATTATGAGAAGATTAAATGAGACTTTGCTTAAGAATGACCAGTTACAGTGTGGAAATCTTATGATGGTAAATGAATGGGCAGTTACAGAATCATGTTGTCACTGCAAAAAATGCTAAACTTTTCTGCTTTCAGTCAATTAACTAACTGATACTGTGTCTACTTTGTAACAGAGAGGTACAAGATATTCAGATTTCAGAAATGCATGCAAATTTATATACTGAATTACATAGGAGATACAAACATCCCTTTGCACCTCTTCTTTTATCATTATTGCCTCTCAAACAGATTGGCTGCATGCATTGTATATATTCTTGATTTTAAGTTTGTATGCGTGTTATAGTTCAAACTAAAAAGTAAATCTTCATTCAAATATGTAAGGGTCTATCATGATAGGACTTTTTAAGATAATTAAAACTTCCTCTTTCATGCACTTCTTTATCAAAATCTCAGTCTAAGCAAAAACAAACTAGCCAGTGACAGTACCATGTTGTCTTGTATTACACTGTTATTCTAGTACATGTTCATTGAGGAGACATGTATAGATAATGGGGAATGTGTTAATTTCCCAAGTTACTTGTTCTTATATGCCTTTGGTCATAAAAACTGATTAAAAAAGTCTTGTAATTAAAACCCTTGTAAAGTTAAATATGAAGCAGGAATTTAAATATATTGTAAGAACATACCATTTTATGAAATATGTAAATTCTTTTGATTTTATATGCAACTGATGATCTCTTAAATTGCTGCTATACTTGTGCTTTGTATTCATTTCAATTTTAACATAGACCTGTATCCTGTTCATTTACATACAGGAATTGTGATAGGCACAGGAAATTAAAATAATATAATTCACTGTTTTATACTATGTCTATATGTTAATATTTCTTCATTTTGGAAACTGTGGAATGCTGCTACTTTGTTATTTTGTCTGCATGGAATACATGTTAGTTTTATTGATGCTCTCAATATTCCAATATTTTGGCAGATTTGCATAAGCTTGGATAACAGTTTTTCTTCCTGCAGTGGAAAAACCACCAACTATCTTATTTCGTCATCAGTTGGGACCAATTGCACAGAGCAATGATGGGCGGCTAATTGTATATCCAGGAACGATTGTGCACATGGAATGCCTGTGGATACGGAGGTTTGGCACCCCCAAGTGGGTTATCAGCCACAATTATAGGTAAGAGTGTTACAATATTTGTCTCTTTACAGTGTGATATAACCTTTACTTTTATGTCCCTGAAAGCATTCAACATTTTGAACATACTCCATGATTAATACAGTTACATATATTTTACACAATCCCTTGTTTTTCAGCACTTGCATGAATGATCAGGTACAGAAACATTCAGCACTCATGAAAGTCTGAAACTGTCCATATAACATAAAATATTTAATTACTTTGACAATTATAATTGTAGTTTAATCCTGTAATAACCAGACTTCTGCCTAGGAAAATATCGATATTGACCAGTGATAATGTAAACAGTAACATTCTGTTGAATACCTCTGTTTGTGACAGAAAATATCCTGAAGGCTGGACAACTGATCCAGGGCGCGATTCACAGCTGGAGTACCGCCTAAGTATATATCATGCCAGCAGAGATGATTCTGGAGTGTTCACATGTGTTACTCCTACTAGACACACACATGCAGTAGAAATACTTGTGAAAGGTATGATATAGAGCACTTTATGAAATGTAAAGTAGCTTTGAGGACATAGTTATGTTTTTAGTTTTTAAATTGTTCTTTTTAATTAATTTATATAAACAGAAATATTGCACAATAAATATTTTGATATACAATGCCTGTGATGTATTCAAGTATTGCATAGGGTTGAACAAATTGTTCATTGCTTAATCAGTCAATATAACACTACCATCTGATTTCAGTCACATGGCATTTTTAATAGTCATTTGATAATAGTGTAGGGGATAGGGAAGTAATTTCAGACTAAAACAAGAGCTTTCATGCTTCAGAACTAAACTGTTAATAAGATGGATGAAACTATTGAAAACTATGCATTCAGTCTTAAAAAAAGGATGTCGACTGAGGACATATGAGAACAAACTGGTAAGGAGGATATTTAGATCTGTGAAACATTAAGTAAAGAAGAATTGATGAGCTTAATGCAATTATGTGGTTCCAGATGTTGATCATTAAAAAAAAAATATAATAAAACCAAAGCCTGAAGCTGTTGTATGAATCTGTCAGTATAAAATGAAAGGCAAAAAAAAGACTAAACAGTTTTATTTCCTGTAACTAGAACAGGACAGAAACTTAATCCATGGATGGTAATAGTGGTGGCTGTGGTGATAATGAAATGAGATGTGAGGATTCAGATTGAATTGAACTGGCTTAGGATATGGTTAAATTGTGGGCTTTTCTGAGCACTGATGAACTTTCATGTTACATAAAAACAAGGAATCTCTTGAAAGGAACCATGATAGTTCAGTCAGTGACTAGACTATGGACTGGATGAGTGGGGTTCGATTCCTGGCATGGAAGGATTTCCTCTTTGCCACAGTGTCCAGACACCTCTTGGTCTGTTGCAGCCTCTATCCAATGGGCACTGACAACTCACCTCCTTCCAGAGCTGAATTTAAGACTGTGTGGAGCTGTACCTCCATTCCCCATCTCCATGGCATGGTGTTTACTTAACCATCAGGGACAACATGCTTTACTATCAACTTTTGAAGAAAGATTCTAAACCGTTACTATACAGAGTGTATATAAATTATCTTTACATCTTTACTCATGAATAAAACCTTTATGCAAAGACATGAACACGCTGTTTAAAAGACATCTGTGAGAGTATGGGTGTCATTTGTCACATATACAATGTTCAAATGATATTTAAGCTCCATCCATGTATGCTGCAGCATGTCAGTGACAACTGTTGTAATAGCAGCTGCAATTCTGTCCATCAAATTGCTGATGTCTGCTGCCAGAGTTCGGTACACAGACTTTTACTTATCCCCATAGGAAAAAATCAGTATGTGATTCTGGCGATCTAGCCAACCAAGATATGGGACCAGCACAGCCAATCCGTTGGTTTTGGAAATGCTGGTTAAGAGTTGCATGCACAGTCATCTTTTGGTGTGGTGGTACATTGTCTTGCTGGAAGAACAGTGCAGTGGAAAACAATGGGTGCTACCATCTGCGTGGAACTCGGTAAATCTTTGAGAGTTTCTTTCACAGTTGATGCTCAAATAATGCATCTGACTTTTTGTAAAGGTTTTATTCATGAGTAAAGTTGTCGAGATAATTTATGTACGTTCTGTATATAAAGGCAACTCTCGGTTTGTGAACGTTCGATTTACGAACATTCGCTACAACGAACGACACAATTTATTCAAAATTTCTTAAAGTCGCCAATAGATAGAGTTCCTTATAAAACGAAATGCCAATTGTATAGTGAACATAATTGTAAGATTTAAATAAATAAACTTTTAAAAAATGTGTTTATTACAATAATTATCAGAAAAATATTGTATGATAATTATACTGAACTGTTCTTGGTTAATAAAACTAATCTAGCCAGTAAAAAGACGTTGGTTTACATGCCACGCTGTATAGAATGTTTTCTCGTGGGAAAGAAATTGGTTATTCCCCCTATTATAATATAATAGGATCATCACTTGCTTTGCCTATGTTAAACCATAATGCATACATACATTTAATAAAACGTATTGTATAGACCATTCGATGTTTAGTACATGGTTTTAATGCTTTAAAATGGCTGCTAACATATACGATATGTATTGTAAAAGCTCAGGAATGCAAGATACACATAACAAACAAAAATGTATTAACGAACAACGTCTTGGAACGGAACTCATTTGTAAACCGAGAGTTGCCTTTAATGCTGTTACTTTACAAACTTTTTCATCTCTTATTGTTTGAGTTTGAAATTCAGATAACTAAATTCATATACTTTGTCACATGAAAAGAAGACATATCTAATTTGATTAAATATACTCACACATTCATTAGACTTATTTAGAAATGTAGTATTACCTTCCTTTTTAACACCAAACTAGATGTGGTTGATACAGTGCTTACTATAATGGTGCTATAATCACCTGGTCATAAGGACATAGATGAGACAGACACTATTGTGAGATATGTTATCTGTTCTGTTCAGAGCTTTGCTGTTATGTGTTATAAAAAGTGAAGACAAACTGCAAACTTGTCTGGGTCAACTTCCCTGTACCCTCATTGTTTGATCCATTGCTTATCTTATTGCCTCTTATTTTATTTAAATGATGCTTTCTCAGCTCCACAGGTTGTATGCTTTAAATTGATGAATCATAGTAAATGGCGAATTCAGAAGGAAGAAGAAAGAAACAATTGTGGCCTTCCATAAAGTAAAGTAAAGTTTGTCCCGCTACATGCCGTACAGGCGCTTGGGATGAGAGGAGATATAGCTCCTCTCTTTCTTGACCTCAGCACTAGATGGGGGTCAGTGGTCAGCATCACGCCCCGGCCGGCTTTACCCCCGGGAAAGGACCCTGGTACCCATTGTAGAGGAGGCTGGGTGGGCCCCAGAGCCAGTCTGGACGCAGAGGCTAGAGGAAAGAATCCTCTGCCCCCATCGGGGATCGAACCCCAGTCATCCAGCCCGTAGCTTGTCACTATACTGACTGAGCTATCCCGGCTCATCCTACCATAAAGTATTGCCTTAGAATTTTCTGTAAGTGTTGAGAAAAACAACAAAACCTCAGGTCTGGACCAAGAATGAAACCTGTGGCTACTTTAGTGGAGGAATGCTAACCACAGTGTTCAGTTTTGTTCATCTGAATACATGTTCTTGAAGACTAAGTTGCCTACTGATATAAATTTTAAGATATGTATTTCACTGTATCATTTATTTAATATTCATACGTTTACACAGTGGAAAAAGTGTTTTCTGATTGTTTAACAATTTTTATTTATGAGAAAAAGATGATACTACTACACTACTAACTGTACCTGATGAAATTGAGGTATCTACAGTTGTAGTGTCTTACAATCTATTTCAATGTACATTTAACACAGCACTAATCAGTTGGCTTTCTTTCAATCAGCGGTGCACTGTCCAATGATTCCGCCTCGTCGTGGCATGAATCTCAGCACTCTGAATACCAAGATGAACACAAGGGTGTTACTGTCATGTGCTAATGGCAATTCTTTGATTGGTGCACCAGAAATCACATGTTTGCCCTCTGGAAATTGGAGTGCACCTATTCCCATTTGTGAAAGTAAGTGCACACCACAAAATCGAATGGCATGATGTTCTTCACAGTCAACCCCACAAGGACTAACATGTTTCATGGGTCTAGGGCAGGGGTGGGGAAACTGCGGCCTTAAGGCCACATGTGGCCTTCTAGGTCCTTAAATGCGGCCTTTTGACTGAATCCAAATTTTACAGAACAAATCCTTTTATTTTTATTAATACATTTTTCAAGACGCCCTTAAGGTCACAAATGACGGATACCCATCTAGAGGATCAACTGAAACTGCGGACCTCCATGCTGCAACCAAACATTCAAATGCTTTCCAACAAAAAACAGACACAACAAAGTCATTAAAAGATTAGTTAACTTTAAAATTAACAAATAGTTTTCATTTTTTGAAATTATTAAGTACATAGTAGTTAGATTTTTACAAAATAATGTACATTTTTAAGTATATCTAATTGAAGTTTCTTAAATGCGGTCTTATTTGATTACAGTTAAATTAATGCGGCCTTCCAACATGAAAAGGTTCCCCATCCCTGGTCTAGGGTATATTCTACACTATTGCAGTGGTTAGAAAAATCATCTTTTGAGTAGGTTCAGTTTAAGAACTTGAAGCAAAAATGGTGGTAGTACTATATAGTATAAGCCAGTGGTCCCCAACGCAGTGCCTGCGGGTGCCAGCATTGATACGGAAAGATGTTATACTGAATAATGAAGGCCGTTCAACCATGAACATTATAAAATCAAAGCACAGATCTCTACTTACTAATGTCCATCTTGACGATTGTTTGCGAGCAGCAACATCTTCCTACACAAGCAAATTTGAAAAACTGACAGATTAAATGCAGTGCCAAATATCACACTAACTACCCACCTGAGTAATAATAATTGTACTTTTGAAAGTAAGTATTTTTGATTGCATGGTTTCTTGTATCATTAAACGTCGTGTTGTTTTGTGTATTGCTTGGTGACGATTACTTATTTGTCCAGATAAAAGAAAAATTTGGCTTTGTTAATTGGTTGGTGCCCGCCACGATCGCATAAACTCTCAAATGTGCCCATAGGCACAAAAAGGTTGGGGCCCACTGGTATAAACAAAAGAAGTATTATAATAAATAAATTTTACTATTTAATTTGAAATTTTATGAATAGAAAAATATCTGTGAAGCTTGGTGCTATTTCTAGGACACTGACTTCCGAGATCTGAGCATTTGTGAATTTTATTTTTTTTATATAAAATTAGTTTACAATCTGGATTTTTCAGACTTTTGTATAGTTTTTACTTTTGTGCTTTTTTGTCTACATGAAATTTTTACAGTCCTTTCTACACACTTGGACAAATGTTTTTAAACCACTTTCACTAAGCCACTGTATTAATAGAGTGCACATAAGTGTCCTGTGATGTTTTCATTGAGGGTCAACCACTTCTGATGTTTATCTTAAACTGCTACGGGATAAACATATCCTTTTTCTGTGGGATATGGCTTGCAATTTACAAATATATGGGCCCAGACCTCACACCAGCAGTACCATACTTGTTTTTTCGTAATGTTTTTGAAGACTGAAACCTGTTAAATTGGAAGCTCTTAGAGGAATGATTATCATTGCCACTGACTTTACCCCTCCCAAACCTTTGTGAAACTTGCCATTCAGTCAGAAATTCAGTGTACTTAACTTTAGATTGCTTTGACCCTCCTGCCCTCTTTGGATTCTCCATTATCTTATCATATTTAATTTTATATTCTTTTCATATTTGTAAAACTGAATAATTTTGCACAGGTATTGAATGTGCAGATCTTGTAAATTTAACGGACCCACATCTCCGTGTGTCAATCCTAAGCAGAGAAGTGGGTGGTCGAGCTGTGTTCAGCTGTGCCCAGGGATATGGGTTGCGTGGGCCACATGAAGCTGTGTGTCAGCACACAGGAGACTGGGCTTCTCCTCTACCCACTTGTCAAGGTACAATATATGTATTTAATTTGTATAAAGTATGTCCACAGGATATCAAGAATGTCAAATTAGGTTAAGGTAAAGAGGTTACATAATTTATTTTTATCTGCCTTTCTATCCTCTTGAAAATAAATTTGTGGTGGGAATACATTTTACAATGACCATCTCATGCATTTTTATGATAATGTCCAAATTGTGATGACAGTTACATCCTTCTTTGCAAACCTATATCTGCTACAGTGGTTCCCAACCATTCCTTAATCAAGGAATTCTATGATGCATTATGATATTCTGTAGAACTTTATGAGCTGTACAATATTATCATAATTAATTATTTATTTTTGTTTCATCTGAAGTGTAAGAAATTCTTCCCATACACACAGTTCTGTTGATCTAAATATGTTGCAGAACTTATTTTAGAGGTACCTATATTGCCATTGGGTTCTTCAGGACCATCATCTTTTATTCTGATATGGTTATACCAAATATCTTTATATTTCAGCAAAATGATATTTGTCACATATAAACACACACATCGCAGATTTCGTTGTCAACAGTACCATATATGATTCATTTGACTTCATGTTCTGTTGTCTTAGTTCATATGACAAGCTGCTAAATCAGGTTCAGAGATGGTCTTCTGCTCTTCATGAATTTGCCTCATGCATTATGTACGAGGTGCGATCGAAAGGTTTCAAGACTGCTCGTATAAAAACCCGTACACTTATCTGAGGTATTAAATTCATCCATCACCCTCGAAGTAGTTCCCCTGGGAGTGAACACAACGATCCCAGCGCCGCTGCCAAGCCTGGAAGCATCCCTGGAAATCTTTCTTTGTCAGCCTGTCAAGCACCATCTGCGATTCTGCCTGAATCTCTTCTATCGTCTCAAATCTCCATCCCTTTAGCTGAATTTTCATCTTTGAGAAGAGGAA